GTTCAATCCTTGGCTGGCTTCGGAGGTTTGCTGGCAGCGGTTTCTAGCGAAGCATCCTCCCCGAGCAAAAAGCGTGCGCCATGGGGCCCCGTCCGCCTGGAGAGTTGCGCCCCTGGGCGTGCTTGTGGCGGCGGCAGGGGGGCCAGCGTGGGATGGCGCAGCTTTTGACACCGCCCGTCAGTGGGACGGGTGGACCGGGGGGATCCCACGTGATAGGCCTGTTTTCCACCACCACTACCACAAGTTGGAGGGGGGAAGGAGGTGGAGGAGGAGGAGGAGGAAGAGGAGGAGGAGGAAGAGGAGGAGGAGGAGGAGGAGGAGGAGGAGGAGGAGGACCCTCTCCCCCTCCAACTTGTGGAAGTGGTAGGAAGCAGGCCCATCACCACGGGCGCCCCCAGGCCCGGCACAGGCCTGGCGAAGCGAGGCAGGCCTCGCGCGGTGTTGCGGGTGGCGCCGAGACACGCGGCCACCTCTCGAGGCGTAGTCACCAAGACATCCCTCCACCTCCCTCTGATGGGCCTGCTTTCCACCACCACCACCATACGTTGGAGGGGGAGGGGGTCCTCCTCCTCCTCCTTCTCCTCCTCCTCCTCCTCCTCCTCCTCCTCCTCGTCCTCCTCCTTCCCCCCTCCAACTTATGGTGGCGGTGGTGGAAAACAGGCCGATCATCCCTCCTTCCTTCCTTCCTCCACCTTCCTCCGTCCCCTTGTCTGGCACAGTCGGCAAAACTGCGCGTCCGCCCGCAGCTGGCGGACGTCGAGAGATGTGAGGGCTCTCTGTCCTTTTCTCTCCCACCCGCAGTCATGTTCCCTTCTCCCTCTCCTCTTGTTGTTCCCGCCCAACCCGCGTTCATCTCCTCTTTCTGATTTCCCGTATTCCCCCGACTCGGATTTGGAGTCGTGCGCACGTTTGGAGTAGTTTCGATTGCGGGTGTCGCTCGTCCAATGTGGTAGTCCGATAGTTTTTCGTCATCATGGTCCTAACCATTTCATGATCATGCCACTTCCGGATCGGACCTGAGGGTCCTCGTTTGGGCAGTTTTGCCAGCGGCGGTTGTGCGCCCCGCGGGGTAGTTTCTTTGGGAAGATCCCTTCTTTTTAGAATGGGGCCAGGACTTAGGATGAATCCGTTCCAGAGCGTTCCGTAACGCTCTCAGAGCCTTCCGGAACGCTCTGAGAAGGCCGCGGCGCCCGAGACATCCTCCGGACCCGCCGAATCTCAGAAATCCTCGACTTATCCTTGTCCGAGTTTATCCTCGCCCTGGCATCGCCTTACCCCTCTACCTCCTGCTCCTCTTCCTCCTCCTCTTCCCATGCTTCCCCCTCGTGTTCATCCTGCGCGCCCTCCTCGCTACGGTCCTTGTCCAGCACCGGGTGGTGGGGGGGGGGGGGGGGGGGGGCGTTTCTGCTCTTCGTGCCCGGGCCCTCCACTTTGGGAGGTGTTGCTGCTCGGGTATATCTCCCTGAGGCCCTGGTCCCTACGCCCGCCTTCATCCTGTTCGGGTAGGGGATCGTCTACATAATCGTTGTACCCCAGAACTGGTTTTCTCGCCGAGTATGTGAAGAAGTACGTAGAAAGCTCGCAGATCTACGGAACAGTCTTCGTATTCTCGTAGACTCGGCGCACACCTCAATCTTGGGCTAGATCCCTTCTGTAGTCGATCCCCGACCCGAGCGTTGCTGAGCCTCGCTCCCGTGGCCACGCGAAGACTGGAGGTCACCCCGCCGGGGGCGAGGAGGGGGAGGATGAGGAGGAGGAGGTGTTGGAGGAGGAGGAGGAGGAGAGGAGAAGGAGGAGGAGGAGGAGAGGACGGAGTCGCTCCTCCCAGAGTCGCTCCTCCCAGAGGCGGGCGGAGCGAGGCCGCGACGGCGGCCGCCGCGCTTTTCGTGCGGCGCGCGGCGTGGGAGTCGAGAGTGCCCTGGGCGGCCGCTCACCGCCCACCAGACCACCCCGACCCAACCCGAAGGCCCAAATCTATGCTCGATTTCCAGTGGGGGGGGGAGGCGGGGAACATTGAGAAAGCACATGGAATCCCGAGTGCCCTGGGCGGCCGCTCATTTACCAAACCACCCCAACACCCAACCCGCAGGCCCAAATCGATTCTCGATTTCCAGTGGGGGGGCAAGTTTTAAAACTAGTTTGAAAGAGATTGTCCAAAGAACAACTTCTCAGTATGGATTGGGGTCGGGGAACATTGAGAAAGCACATGGCATCCGTACCCCCCCCCCGAACCCGAAGTTCGGGTCAAGTTCGGGTCTTCGGGTTGGGTTGGGGTGGTCTGGTAGGTCGTCCGCCGCCGGCCTGGGCCGCACTGGGCGCGTGGAAGGCCCCCATTCGGGGATGGACCGGCCTCCCACCCGGACGCGTCGACTCAGGAATTGGCCGCTCTCGGTCCGCGAGGGGGGCGTCGCGGCCGTCACTTCCTGCGGGTCCGGGTCCGTCGGTGTCGCTGCCGGGTCGCTTTCACGGAGGGGAGGTTCACTAAAGGGAGGTTTGTCCACCGCCGAATAATAGTTTAGATCAGGTGACGAGTTCCGACCGACCAACTTCCCCCCTCCTCCCCATCCGTGCTCCTCTCTTGCCAGAGTGCTATGATCATTGCCAGGTCCGTCGGCTTCGGTCCCGGGTCGTCTTCACGGAGGGGAGGCCTACGAAAGGGAGGTTTATCCACCGCCGACCCCTTTCGCCGCCGAGGGTCGCCCGGCCTCCGAGGGGGGGTCGGTGGTGGGTCCTGGCATCGCTTGGACGTGTGCATATTTTTTTCCTCTGCGAGAACCATCGGGGACCATCCTCGACCGCAAAAACAAAAAGCACACACTATCGAGGACCATCCTCGACCAACGAGCAAAAAAAAAAACACACGAAACCGAAAAATGCACGGGAAATGGACGTCCGAGCGACGGCGAGGGGTGCGCCGATTCAGGATGGCCCGCGCCCAGCTGCCACTAGCGATAGCAACGCTAGCAAGGAGGATGACGGCAGCAGGGATCAGCGATCGTTGGTAGCGTTGTTGTCGCCGTGACCGTTATAGTCGTTGTAGTCGCTGATGACGTTGACCCCCTCGTCGGTGAGTAAAAGTCGCCCTTGGTGATGGTAGGTGTTCGGTGCATGTCGTGGCCATCTTGGAGCGCAGCTTGTCGCCGAGGATGGGTTCCTCTCCACATTCTGGACAGGACGCACCCTGGGGAATAATCAAGAGGTCGACCTTGAGGCCCGGAGCCCTGGCTTCCTGCGACCCATCTCACCACCCACCAAACCACCCCAACCCAACCCGAAGGCTCAGATTTACCATCGAATTCCAGTGGGGGGGGGCGGGAAACATAGAAAAAACACATGTGGAACCCTTACCCCCCCCAACCCGAAATTCGGGTCTTCGGGTTGGGTTGGGGTGGTCTGGTAGGCAGTCAGGATTACCCTCCGAGCGGCCGCGGGAGGCCCCAGCTGTGACCCCCAAGCCGGACGTTCTCGGCGCCGTGGGGCCCTCGCGACGGCAGGCTTTTCTTTGATCGGGGGAGCGTAAGACCCGGGTTTGCCGGGACTCGGGTTCGCCATCGTTTTTTGACGACCGCGCCTCGGATTTTGACGAGGAGGAGTTTCGCGGGATGTTTCGGGTTGGGTTGGGGTGGTCTGGTAGGTAGTCACCGGAGGAGCAGCCCTGTTCCCAATCAGTGCTTGCAGTGAGGGGATGCTGCACCAGAATTGCTCGTTGTCTCCTGTGATGCTTGTGCACGGAGTCCGCCTGTAGGATCTTGGCTTTTGTCACCCCTGTGCAGGAGTCTCCTGCGGCTGCCCATGGAGAGGGGCCCAGTCGTAGCTTGTTTAATTGGAAATGTGTGTCGAGTGTGCCCGGCTGATGCCCACATGCTTTGGGGTCGCTTCCGTTGCTGGGGGGTTGCCATCATTGCATGATCCCGCCCGTGGGCAAGGTCAGCCCCAGGTGCGCGAAGGTACCGCGCTGCGCGGTCTGGGGAGAAGGGGGCGCGAAGATAGCTCGACCGGTCAGCGCGCAGCGAAAGGATAGTGGTCCAGATCAGGACATGCCCTCGTAGGCGTCGCATCTATACGTCACCGCCTAGGTAGGTCTGGTAGGTAGTCACCATCATGATCGCGCCGGAGGGCCCTCGCCATCGTCGGCCCCTGGAGCCCGCTCCCTGGCCCCGGAGCGCGATGGAAGGCCAGCCAGTCCATGGCCGGGAAGGGATGCACGAGAGGGGTACATACCAAAGTATCGATCCTTTCCCTCCTCCGTCTTTCGCCTTCCGCCTATCGCTATCGCTATCGCTATCGCTATCGCTATCGCTATCGCTATCGCTATCGGCTCGATGTCCAGTCGGACGCAGCCGTCCGCGCGGCCGGAGCTACGCGCGCGCCCAAAGCGCGTAGGGGGGGCCACCCCCCGACACAGACCCCCGCCAGGAGGGCAAAGGGAAAGCCGCCTTGGCTTCGAAAGGGGAGGGGCGGGGGCCGAAAAGGACCGAGAAAAACGGGCCCAGGAGTTTCAGAGGAAGGAAGAAAGAGGATGACAAGATGGAGGATAAGGGAGAGGCCGCATAAGGGAGAGGCCGCATGGGGGTGGCAAGATGGAGCAGGAGCAGGGAAAGGATCGATACCAAAGTATCGATCCTTTCCCTCCTCCGTCTTTCGCCTTCCGCCTATTTCTTCCGCGTCATCGTCCCTTCTCAACCTCCTCCTCCCTCCTCCCTCCTCCCTCCTCATCACCCTCATCCCTCCTCTCCTCCTCCTCCTCCTCCTCCTCCTCCTCCTCCTCCTCATCCTCCCTCCTCGTCCGTCCAGGGGACCAGGGTCAGCGATACGTAAAGATGGAGTCGCCGGAGGACCAGCCATGCAGAACACCGGCGTCCCGAGAGGGGAACAAACAGGCGACGGCCAGCGCTCGAGAGCCCCAGAGCACCTGGCATCGACAGCACGAGGGCGCATTGGCGCCGCGTGTGGCGCAGAGTGTGGTGCTTCATCTGGTGGCTTCCCAGTGTGGCGCAGAGTGTGGTGCTTCATCTAGTGGCTTCCCGCTGGGAAGCCCGGCGGACTTCATACAGCTGTCGAACGATGCTGGCGCTCCCGTCTTTCAAGCAGCCCAGAACTATCCGGATGTGTGGGCGCCTCAGCGTGGGTTTCGCACGACGCAACCGCGGACGCAACGGCGGCGCAGAAGTGCCTATCTTGCCCAGAAGTGCTCATCTGGTCCAGAAGTGCTCATCTGGCCCACCAGCCTCATGACCTCATGGGTCAGTGACCGATGGGGAGGCCAGGCCGCCCTGCAGGGGTGCCGAGGTGATTGCGCGTCGCGCTTCGCAGCCTGGGCGAGAACGCGAAGATCACGGCACCTCGCGTATCGCTCAGCGCGAAGCAGGGGGGGCCCGCAGGAGGAGGAGGAGGAGGAGGAGGAGGAGGAGGAGGAGGAAGAGGAGGATGAGGGGTAGCAGCAGCAGCAGGAGGGGAACGACCAGGGCCTCCAGCGTCGGGATTCGCTTCGCAACGTGAGCCCCAGGCAGTTTTCTGAGCCGGAAGTTGTGACAACTGCTCCCATCCCAGAGCTTTCGCGACGCCTGGAGGTCTTGGTCCGCCAGCCCGTCTTCGTTCCAACTAAATCCTCTGCTCCTCGCCCGACTCAACAAAGACGCCACGCCGAAAAAGCATTCGAATAGCAACGGTTGGGCTTGCGCGCGTACACCCGCTGTAGGATCCCAACATGATTTCAAGTCTTGACACCCGGCCGGAGACGCGGCGCCGCGGATTCGGCACAGCCCTGGACTACATATCGAGACTGTCGAGACGGACTGGTACTCCCTCTGGGGGCTGCCTGTGCGCAACGACGCGCCCTGTCTCGGCGGCGAGCCCGGGGGGGGGAAGGCCTTCTCAGAAGGCGGCGGGGCATCTCAGAAGCCTTCTGGCCGTCTCAAAAGCCGTCTCTGTCGTCGGAGAAGGCCCTGGAAATTTCTCATGAGGCCGGAGGCCTTTCGAGCCCTCTGAGAAGGCCCGCACCGTCTACATTTCTCAGGAGGGAAAGAAACACAGAGACACAATGAATCGTCGACTCCCAGGAAAAAATAGGAGAATATGGGAAGCGGGCCAGAAAATATGGGAAACTATGGGGAATCCAGTTCTTTGTGTGTACTTATTTGCGTGTGTCCCAGGTCCCCTACGTTTCCCCCATGGGCTCGCCCCCTCACTGTCCCCTCGAAGCTCCCGCACCCCGCTCCTGCGAGCAGCGGGAGCCTGGCGCCTGCCGGGCCCGCGACGCGCCCTCTCCCGCCGGGAGCGGTGCGAACGGTGCCAGCCCGTCGGGGGCCATATGCCCCGCGTTTGTGCCGGCCAGCGCGGGCTCTCCCCTCCGTCGGCCTGGGCGAGGGAGAGACGAGAGGATGGGAGGAGGAGGAGGAGGAGGAGGAGGAGGAGGATGAGGAGGAAATGAGGGAGGGAGGCGGAGGAGGAGGTGAGGAGGAGGAGGAGGAGGAGGAGGAGGAGGGGGAGGAGGAGGAGGAGGAAGAGGCGGAGGAGGAGGAGGAGGAGGAGGAGGCATGCCAGGCGGCGGGGGGAGGCGCCCACGGCCACGATTGCATCTTTTGGGTCATTCCCTGGCGATCACGGGCGTGGCATGGCATGGGGGGAGGGGAGGGAGGGGGCCAGTCACATCACGATTCGCGCCGGCGCCGTGTGGGGATGCCCAGGGATGGCCGATTCACAGACTGCGCCGAAGCGCGACACGACCCAGGGGGGTGAGGGGGGCGGGGTCGGTCTAGGGCGTTATCGCGAATGCAGCCAAGGCGCCGACAAAAGGACCGCTTTGGGTTCGGAAGCGGGCCCGCTGCGCCGGGTCATGCCGCAGCTGCAGCCCTCCAGCCCTCTACCCATCGGTCGTTGAAAGTAGGTATTTTTGGATTCCCAGATTCCAATCTACTTTCAGCGCCTTCCTACTTCCAGAGTCGAGTGGTTTTCCCTCTCCCTTCTCTTCAGGAGGCGTGCGGAGACCCCGTCTGTTTCCAACGCCTTCCTACTTCATGTTTCTACCTATACTTCTTCCGACCGATGGGTAGCCCTCCTCCATAGCCCCCCTTGTGCACTCGGGCTTCGTTCCTGAATTAATCGGCGATTCCCCAGAAAATATAGGAAAATATGGGAAGTGGGGGGGAGACAAAAACCCAGAAAATATGGGGAAATATGGGGAAGCTTTTTATTTGTGTGTATTCATTTGTGTGTCCCAGGGCCCCTTTAGTTTAGCGCTCCCTAGTTCAGCAGCCCGGCTGTGCTGGAGAAGCGGGTTTCATTTGGGCTCCGGCCGCCGCGCGTCAGCTCCAGGGCCGTTCTCTGTCAGGAGGGAAAAGAAACGCACAGGCACCATTATTCATCGTCGACTCCCAGGAAAATGTGGAAAGTGGTGGGGACGACAGAAGCCCAGAAAATATAGGAAAAAATATTGGGAATGCAATTAGCTGTGTGTATTTATGTGTGTGTTTGTGGGCCCCTTCGCCCTGGTGGCCCCGGGGGTCGGTCCGAGAACGGGCCCCAGGGGCCGAGACGGAGGCTTCCCGGGGAAGGGGGAGGACGCAGAAGTCAGCACGGACGTGCAGCTCCCGGGCCGGCGCTGGGCTCCTCCCCACGCCCCTCCCCCTCCCCCTCCTCCTCCTCCTCCTCCTCCTCCTCTCCCTCCTCTCCTCCTCCTCCCTCCTCCTCCTCCTCCTCCTCCTCCTCTCCTCCGTCGTCGGCCGAACGAAAGGGGGGGATTGGGAAAGGGGGGGGTACGAAATCTGCTGCATGCAGCCGGTTTCGGCCCCGCCGCCGGGCCCATTCCTCGATACATGGGCGCCTCCCGGCGCCGGGAGGCGCCGGGATCATCAGCTACGTGAGCTGATTCTCACCCCCCCCTTTGCTATCTCCCCCCTTTCGCCCGGCGTGACTCTGGCGGCGCCTGAGGCGCTGCCAAGGGGGGTGGTGATGGGGGGTCCAGCGCGGATCCGAGCGATGCGAGGGGGCCCGCGAAAGTTTGCCGCTGTGCTGTTTTCGGGGCCCCGCGCCCATCAGAAGACGATCGCGAGGGGAAGCCAGCCCCCGGGACGGGGTCGAGAGCCCTGGGGCCCATATTTGCAAACGTGTGTGTAGGTACACCCGCCATCCTGTTGAAATGTCAAAAGGAAGGTCTCGGAGGTCTAGGTCTAGGTCTGGGCAGTTCCTCCATCGGTTGTGTGAACAGTCAGGCCGAGGGTCTCGACGACGCAGTTGTTTCTACCTACTTTCTGACGTCGTCGCGACGCCAAGCCACCTGGCAGGAACCGGCACTGAAGCGGCCAGTCACGTGCCAATATCGGTCTGGGAATTGATGTGCGAATCATCTGCCCAGAAGCATTTGCAGAGCAAGCCAAGCAATTCATTAAAATCTGCACATGGGCTTGCCACCTGATACAAGCATTCGCACATCCGTACCAAACAAATGGCCCTCCAGTTCAAAGGGCAGGGCCGCTTTGAAACGGTCATGCCTTTTTACTCGCTGACCTCTGAACATTGGCAGCGGTCACGTCTGCCCGGGATATTGTCGCCGATCTTGCGGCGGGCCACATTATTGTGCTGTTCGATCGGACGCGGTTGCCTTACAGCATCTAAAATTGCACAGTCCTCCAAACCATGTTTCATCCTCCGACTCCTACCCTTAAGTCGGGCCTGCCCCCCTACAGGGGGATTTTCGACGAAAAATAAAAAAAGATACCCCCAAAATGGTCCAAAAATAATCAAACAAATAGTCTTGGGACTATTGTTTGAACATTTGTTTTTTGCTATTTTGGAGTATTTTTGGAGTATTTTTTATTTTTCGTCGAAAATCCCCCTGTAGGGGGACACGCCCGACTTAATCCTACCCCTGCACCCCCTCTGGGCACGCGAGAGGCCCGAGAGAGCCAAGGTCGTTCGCATCGAGTTCCTTGTTCCACGCGCTGGTCACAGCCAGCCTGAAGCAGGGGTTCGTGCCCAGCGTGATGAGGGCGCAAGACCGGCAGGGGGCTACTGAAGGAGGGGAGGTGCAGACGAGAGAGGAAAAGGAGAAGGATGGAGGTGGGAAGAGAGGCATGATGGATTAAAGTCGACTCGTAAGGGGGTCCGAGGTGCGGGCTGGGGATTGGTCGGGGGGCGGCCGACTGTTGCGAGCTGATAGTTTTGTGTTGTTGTTGTTGTTTGTTTGTTTGTTTGTTTGTTTGTTCGTTTGTTTGTTTGTTTGTTTGTTTGTTTGTTTGTTTGTTTGTTGGTTCGGTTGTTTGTTTGTTATATACTACCCCGTCTCTTCCAGCTCGGCCTTCTCAATCGCGTATGCCTGTCAAGTGCTGCGCCACGGAACGGTCGGCTCCTTCCATGCTGTTACGTGTCTCTCGGCCCGCTTGGCGGCCCATGTACTCCCCTGTTGTGGGGCCTGGCTGGGGCGAGCGGCTCGTGCCAAGCGCGGCCGCCCTCTCCTCACGCCCTTTTAAACATGGTGTTTCGAACCTGCCTCTTCGGAAGCAGGCCACCGTCCTAGTCCTAGGTCCACCTCGGAGCCCTCCCTCTTCTACACCTGCTCATCCTATCCATCCTCATCCTCCCTCGCCCCCCGTCTCCTCATCAATCCCCTCATCCTCCACCATCCCCTTCTCCAGCTGTTCGTGCCCTTCTTCCCCCCTCTCCTCGAATTACCCTTGGTATGTTCCTCATATCCCCTCATTGTCCTTTACCCCTCCTGCACAACATCCTTATGATAATCCTTATATCCATCCTCCTTCCATGCCTCCTACCCTCTGTTCCTCCTTTCCCGCATCCTGTCTCCATCCTCCTCCTCCTCCTCCTCTTCCTCCTCCTCCTCCTCCTCCTCCTCCTCCTCCTCCGCCATCGTCCCACATGTGCCGTTGCCATGTTGGCTCAAGGTGGGGACCGGCCCCATTTGAGTGATGCATCCCTCAGCAGGGGGCGTTCCTGAAGTCAAGCTCAAGCGGACACCCATCTCAACTCTTGCACTCTGCATATGCATATCGTTGCTGCTCCAGCGCGCGTTTTTCTCGGGCATCTCCTCCTGTTATGATTATGGCGCTCGATGCCTGTAACGCCTGGCCTACGACCAAAAAGGTTCCGACAAGGGACCAAGTCGCGTCGTTTCGGCTGCGAGGCGCTATTCGGTGATACTGTTGACCACTGTCTCTACTGTTTTGCTGTTCTGAGTTCCGCACCCTCGCGTTTTGCCTCCTCTGCCTTCGGGCTATAGTTCCTGGGCCAGATTCGAGCATGTTTTTTTTATAGTTTTGCCCCCCCACCCCCCTTAACAGCCACCAACTGCTCCCAACTCTCCTGGTGCCTGATGCCTTGCTAGCCTCTTACAACACGGTGCAGTCCCAAGACTGTTAGGACCCAGAATGCTTCGGTACTTCGTCCAGAGCACGCGCGCGAGTGCTGGCCCACCGCAGAGCCAACGTCCGAGCTCTGCCGCAGCGGCGGCCGCCCGTTCCACGCCATGACGAGCTTCGGTGAAGGCTGCTGTCACATTTCCACGCGATACCGAATATTGTCGCTTATGTTGCCTATTCTGTGCGCGCGGGGGAGGCTCCTTCGAGGGGCGCGGACTGCCTGGACCCTCTTGCCCCTCGATGGGTATCTGCCTCGTCTCTTGCTCTTGGCCGCCCTCTTGTCTGCTGAGGCCCGCGCGCTCCTCCCACGTGCCCCCCTCTCTTTCCCCGCGCTCTCCCCCCCCCATCCTCCTCTCTCCTCACCGTATCCCCATCCTCCCGTGCGTGTGTCTGCGAATCGTATCCCTTCTTTTTCTCATCCTCCTCCCGTCCCTCTCTTTCTCACACATGCCCCTCCCCTATAATCTCAAGCGGCGGCTTGTGCGTCTTGTTTCGCAGCCTGTCGATCCCGATGCATACTCCAAGATCCCGATCGAGCTCGGTCTTCGCGATTCGCTCTTTGCTGGAGTGAGAGATCTTGGAGTTGATGGCCCGAGAGCGCACGGGTAGTCTGGTTGGCAGTGGTGGCAGGACACCACAATCCGACCCGACCCATGGTCCGACAAGCCTGCAATGATGACCCACGGGGATGCGCCTGGGTTGGGACAGCGCGCGCATGCGAGCCGCGCGTACCGCCACAGGCCGAGCCGAGCACCGTCTCGTCTCCAGCGTTGTCGTGGCGCTCGGGGGCGCTTCGTTGATTGGCGCCCAAAGTCTCGGCAGCCAGAAAAAATACCCCACTACCTGGACCTCTCCCCGGATGCGTTCTAACGAGGAGCCCGGCGCGAGTCCGGCCGTGGAGACGAGGACCCGCAGTTCAGAGAAGCCCACGGAGGCGGGAACGAGGGAACGAACGTCAAGAACGGCCTCAATGATGAGCCTTCCTTTGAAGCAGTGCGCATCGGTATCCTTCGGTTCTAAGCATCTTCTGCACGCTTTTGGCCTCCTCAGTCCAAGGGTTCCCTGGCCTCTTGGCGCGGTGTAGGCGCCTCGCTTCCCTGCACTCCGTACGCATAACTGGTGTTGATTGCATGTTATCATCCTCCGAACATCGGGGCTCCGAGCGTGCCGTCGCTGACAATGCCAGCGGCTTCAGAGGACCCGCTCCTCCTTGGGGGGGATCGACCCCCTCCCCGCCGCGGCGCAGGACGCCGCCATCGCGCTGGCGGTGTTCGGTCCAGAAGGCAGCCGGCTGAGCCTCGCGATGGTGACGTCCGAGTTTGCCGCAGGCACTGTCGTGACCCTGTGTTCTTCGCCTCGTCATCGCCATCGTCGCCTTCTGTCCGTCTGTTGTCGTCGTTGTCGTTGTCGTCGTCGTCGTCGTCGTCGTCGTTCTCGCCGAACGTTGGTCGCCGGTCGACGTCCTCATCGTCCGCAATCCGTCGCCGTCAGTATCTTCGTGTTCGCCGTCCGATGTCTTCGTCGTCTTGCATGGTCGTGGTCCGTCGTCGCCTTGGATCGTCCTGACATCGATACGGGTTTCACAATACGTGTACATCATCAGCTCACTCCCTGCCCCGTCTATCCTCGTCATCATCCTCTTCGTCGTGTTCCTCATCTGGCTCATCGTCCTCCCGCTTCGTTTTCTCCGCTGCACAGGCGAGACCAGAGAGGTCGAGGCGCAGCTGCAATGGCGTCTGCGCGTGCTCTACCACGCCGCCCTGGTGGCCGTGGGGGCCGACCTGCTGCGGCGGCAGCCCACCGAACAGCTCAGGCGGTGTGGGCTGCAGCCGAAGCCCGCTGTCAGAGGGCGCAGGGGTGAGAATAGGAACAACAGACAGTTTTTTTTTGTTGTGTCGGCGGGGCGAGGGCGAACCTCTTCCGCGAAAAGCTAGGCGGGCTACGCACAGCTCTAATCAGGGAGGCAGGGCACAGGCGGGCGGGGCCTCGGGCGGCCGGAGAGGGCGGGGCCCGGGGTGCAGGCGGTGCCGAAGAGCTCGCACAGGAAAAGGCACGCCGCGGGCAGGAGCCGTAGGAGCAACAGACGGACAGCCTGCATAGTAGGGCTGAGCAACTTTCCAAGGTTACTCCAGATCCTTCAATAAGCCCCCCCTGTGCCAACCTGTCCGACGCCCCTTGCCCGCCCCCCCACGCCCCCCAACCTCCATCCTCCTCCTCCCCTCATCTCCCCCTCATCCTCCTCCGTCCCCCCTCATCCTCCCCCTCCTCCTCCATCCTCCTCCATCCTCCTCCATCCTCCTCCATCCTCCTCCGTCTCCTCCTCCTCCTCCTCCTCCTCCTCCTCCTCTCCCTCCTCCTCCTCCCCCCCCCCTCTCGCTCCCCAACCTCCCCACGCCCCCTGAGGGACAGCGGGTTCCCGCGCCCCCACGCGATCCACCCCCCCACGCTTGTTGAGCGATCTGGAGGACCTTTGAACTCTTCCCTTCCGGCCCCCTCTTGGCCTCTTTCGCTGGCCGCGCCTCGCTCTTGTCTGATCGGCATGGCCTTCTAAGGCTACACGCCGGTCGTTGAAAGTAGGTGTTTCTGGATTTCCAGATCCCAATCTGCTTCAAGCGCCTTCCTACTTCAAGAATCGGCTTGCTGTTGCTGTGCTTTGTTGTTCCCTGGGAGGGCCTGGACGCAATCCACTTGATCCGCCTTCCTACTTCATGTTTTTACCTACTTCTTCCGACCGACGTGTATTGTATCATTATCGTGCGTCCGTACTCTGCGGGTTTACCGCGTCCCCGAAAATTGCCGCACGCAGCTGCTCGAAATGCTTCCCGGTGCATCCAGATGTGTGCAGATGCCTTCGGGCGCGTCCCGAAGATTCTGAGGAGGTTTCCGCCGCCTTCTGGAGTAATGCATCGGTTTCGCCAGACAAGCAGCATATCGTCGGACGCAACTGCGTATTCCTCCGCCATCGCTTCCTGACACTCTTGAGAGGCGCAATACCTTGTCCAGCATCCTAGTCCATGACGCTTCGCGTATCCCACCAACCCATCAAACCGAAAATCACCAGGCGAGTTGCCCTGATCAGGTATGTGTTTCATCAGGCAGTCATCCTCCGGGAGCCTCTTAGATGCATTTTGGGGCACTACAGGGCCCTCTTGGGATCATTTGGAGACCTGTGGGGCTCTCTTAGGGCACTCTTGGGGCTCTTTTGGAGCCCTCTCGGGGGCCTTCGATCAAAAAGGGGAACGGCGTCAATTACGCCCCCCTCCCCTCCCCCTTCCCCCTCGGAGACAGACAAGTTGCCTCGTGGGGCGCTGCTGGGGCGTCTTGGGTCCCGTTTGGGCCCGCATGTGATCGTTTGTATTCAGTGTTGTTCTGCCGATCGGCGCGGGCCCTCGTACCCCCCCTCCTCCCCCCCCAATGGAGTAGATCTTGGCTGTTTTGGGCGCCTGTTTCAGGCAGGTGGAGTCCCCCCCACAAGACGCACTGTTGCAAACAGTTTCGATAAGCAAAGGCCCTTCCCCCGCCCTCCGCCCGATGTCGAAACGCCGAATAAGAGAACGTTCACTATTGGGCGATCCTGGAGCCACTTTGAGGCCTCAAGCGCTCATCGGAAGCGAATCGGCGAGAAGACAAGTATCGTTATTGTCCGTAGGTGGTGGAAGGATTGTTGCCTCTCAGAGAGGGTCTTTGGAAGGCTGCGTGGCCTCTTCGAACCGTATTGGGACGGTCTGGGGGTTTCTTGGAACAGAGGCATCTCTGGAAATTAATGTGACTCATCGTGGGCGATGCTGTGTGCTCTTGGAGGACAGCTTGGGCTACCTGGGGCCTTCTTGGGGACACGTTCTGCCCTTATGCATCCTCAAACGACCCGCGAAATGCCCCCCTCCAGGCCCAGGAGAGAGGGTATCGGGAGAGAGGTCAAGCTTCCCCGATCCGCAGCCGTGCCGCTCACTCCCACCCGCCCTCCCACTACAGAAGGTGCACCCGAGTCTCAGCACAGGCAGGGGCCGCCATCGACAACCATCTCGGGGGACAAAAAGGTACGGATACGTGTTGTCCCCTTCGTTTTCGGCCTTTCCTGGTCCTCCTGGGGAATCCTCGTTGTCACCGCTGGATTCGCTTCGAGATTCTGGTCGGAACGCACCCCAAGAGAGGTCCGGGGACAACACGTATCCGTATTTTTCCGCCCCCCAACTCCTCCTCCTCCTCCTCCTCCTCCTCCTCCTCCTCCTCCTCCTCCTCCTCCTCCTCCTCCTCCTCCTCCTCCGCATCTTCCTCCTCCTCCTCCTCCTCCTCCTCCATCGACGACCATCAGGAATCAGTGCAGACGCCAGCCAGGTGCGCGATGCCCGCGAGGTGCGCCGCGCGTGCCGGGTGCGCCACGCGGACCAGGTTTTCGCCACGTGTGTCGACCGCCCTGCAATCCTGGTCAAACAACACTGCAGCATGACCGAGGGGCGAAGAGCATTGTGTCAAGGGCGCCCCCGAGGGCGCGAAGTTATTCGCGCTTCGCGCTTCGCGGTCCTCGTTCCTTCTCCCCCTCCTCCCTCCTCCTCCTCGTCCTCCTTTTCTCCCTTTGGGGGGGCGGCGCGAGAGCGCGAAGTTATTCGCGCTTCGCGCTTCGCGGAGCGCGAAGCGCGAAGCTGGGAGCCCTTGTTGTGTACTGCGTGCGGGTGTCCACCAGCAATCACTTTGCATTTGTTGTTTGGCAGGGATGGTAGGCCTTCGCACTGCAGACAGTAGGTCGCCCCACCCATCGTCGCTGACAAAGTGAACATATCATGTTTGGTTAAAACGGAAACAGGGCCTGCACACAGCAAGCAATATGCTGGCCCCGCCGCCGTCCCTGCCGAAAGCCAGTGCAACGTGATCGCGGAGCGCCGCGCATGATCCAGACTCTGATGCACTGTGCACTTTGATGTTCGTTTTTGTTGCCAGGGCTGGTTGAGGAGTGCCGACGTTGCACACAGCAGGCAATCTACTGGCACCCCCGCCGTCCCTGCAAAAAAGCAATCCAAAGTGATCGCGGGGCGTCAGCGCATGATCTGCAGATTTTGATGCAAGGTGCACTTCGTGTGGTTTTTTTGCAAGGGGTGAATGGGGGGTGTTGGCATTGCACACAGCACGCAATCTGCCAGCGCCCCAGCCTGTCCTATCTATCACCTCTGCAAGATGATCCCAGGCCGTCCGCGCATGATCCAGAGTTTTGCGCAAAGTGCATGCTTACATTCTTTTGACAGGGATGGCGGGGGGGGGGATGGCGGGGGGGGGGTGCATGGTCCCGAGTCTGTCGCCGGTCGGGTGGGGGAGGAGGGGTGTACGAAAAAGGACCTGTATTTTCCAGAAGGGGAGAGGATGTTGGAATAATGTCTTCGCTAAGCCACCTGCGCCCAAAGGGTTGGTGGCACTATCACCCCCATTGCCGAGCCCGACGGTAGTAGGACAGCCTTGACGCGAAGACAGCCGCGCTTGTTCGTTTCCCCTTCCACCAAGAAAGGGCGATAGGGGGCCAGACGTGAACCGACCATCATCGGGGAGGTGAAGCATCATCCGCCACGGCGTCTTCGCCATGATGTGTTGGCGCAGCTTGGACCAGCAGGCATGCCTGGTGTGGCCTCCTGCGGCATTGGTCGCCGCGGTGACCAGCGACATACATTATCATAGGTTCGTGTGGTGTCGATGCGGCGGCGATCCCGCCGCGGGCATTCAAGGTTGAACGCCGCCAGTAACGATCTGGCGATCGAAATGCCGCCGATCGCTCTCAAGGGTGAACGGCCCACGGGGAATCAGAATCTCCAAGTCACGACGCAACGCTGACATCGGGCACCGGGAGCATGGGCAGAATCAGCTCGGCGACACAGCCAGGGCGCTCTGCAGCGGTGGCGGCGTTGGGCTCCGGAAAGGCTGGCGCACGGGCTGCTCGGAGATGCTGCTGGGTGGCATTCTGGCCCTTCTTAGGGGGACAAAAAGTGGCATAAACATAAAAACTCGGAGGTCCGCGCGGATTTCTCGGATCGGCACTGGACCCCCCTCCCTGGCGCGCGGAGCGCGCCAGGGGCGGCGCCGGAGGCGCCGCCGGGGGGTCCCAGCGCCGATCCGAGAAATCCGCGCGGACCTCCGAGTTTTTACGTTTATGTCACTTTTTGTTCCCCTACTTCTGGACTGACCGACGTGGGCTCGCGCTCGGGATATCCCCCTCGCCCTCGACGGCCCGACTCGGCCTGGGCCTCTGCTTCGGTGGCCACGCGGATCATCTGCCGTGCAAGCCCCCGCCTCGGGACTCGCGACAGGCTGCTGCTCGGGGCCCAAACGAGCCACGGTTGGTCTTAAGTCGGGCCTGTCCCCCTACAGGGGGATTTTCGACGAAAAAAAAAAATACCCCAAAATAGACAAAACATAGTCCAAACATAGTCTGGGGACTATTTTGGGAGTATGTTTTACCTTTTTGGTGTATTTTTGGGGGTATTCTTAGCTTTCGTCGACAAGCCCCCTGTAGGGGGACACGCCCGACACAAGGTTGGTCCCCTGCCTCACTCCTCCCCTGTCCCGCTCTATTCAGGAGGGAAAGAAACACACAGACACAATTAATCGTCGACTCCCAGGAAAATATGCAAAAATATGGGAAGTGGTGGGGAAGACAAAAACCCAGAAAATATGGGAAAATATGGGGGATATTTTTATTTGTGTGTATTTATTTGTGTGTTCCAGTTCCCCTTCATCTATGTTTTCCACTGGCGCAGTCGTGCGACTGCCGCACCGCAGCACCCTCACTGTGCGACGGGCGGCCTGCGGGCGGGAGACCGCCGTCCCTCGGCA